AAAGATGTTACTCATTCAACATAACACCTTTTTATTTTAGGAAGCATCACTTAGAGATACTGTTAATTGTGCATTTAGAATCTTTCTGCATCTCTAAATCACGATGTTTCTTCTGATAGGACAAGGGGGAATGGTTTTAAACTGAGACAGGGGAGGTTTAGGTTAGATATTAGGAGGAAGTTTTTCACACAGAGGGTGGTGACGCACTGAAGCAAATTACCCAAGGAGGCTGTGGATGCCCCATCCCTGCAGGCATTCAAGGCCAGGCTGGATGTGGCTCTGGGCAGCCTGGTCTGGTGGTTGGTGACCCTGCACATAGCAGGGGGTTGAAACTAGATGATCATTGTGGTCCTTTTCAACCCAGGCCATTCTATGATTCTATGATTCTAGTCATGTTTAAAGTCACACTTCCGGTGATGTTTGAGATGATTCTGATTACTTATCTCTAAGTCAGCAGTCCAAGCAGGCTGAAGGCTATCACTGACAATAGACACTGACAAGTCAAAATTTATTACTTCTGCAAATGTATGAAGCCACTCTGGTGGGTGTCCATATCACAAGAAAAAATGTCATAGCTAGCAGATGTTTGAGATTCATCCCTGGCAGCAGGAGGGCAACCTGAATGTGTGCCCATTTTATACTCCAAATTCACAATTAAGATTGTTTTGGGGATCAAGAAGTTTAACAGCATTGCTGTTTATACTTCACTGCTGCAAATGTACTGTTATGACTAGGCTTGTGTGTTCAGCACCTTTCATATTACATATATTTGAACAATGAAAGCTTTTCCATTTGCCTTTTCTCACATTGTCTTGGGAAGCTTTCTAGTCTCATCCCAGATAGCATCTCAAGCTGCTTTTCCTAAGGCCTTTAGCCTGCCAATAGGATTACTTCCAGGTAATCATAAAATTATGATTGTCAGTCCTTCTGCCAGCTCGCAAGCAGTGCTTCAGATTTCTATTTTTTACATTCTTCAGTAAATCTGTCTCCTGCAGACTTCTGCTTCTAATGTTTGTTTACTTCACAGCTTATAAATGGCTTAGGTTGGCTTCACAGTTCCCCTAAGACTGGTGCACCCTGGAAGATAAAGGGAAGTTAAAGTGCCACAGGCCCTGAGCATAACAGAGAAATTCAGGCTTTCATTAGAGCATCCTTTGAGCCAGAGCTTTCCCGCTCACTTGTGTGATGAAACAAGAATGCCCTGTAATAGCAGCCAGAGACACCTGGAGAGCCAACTCCTGTGCCATAGCATCATATCTAATAACAGTATTTCCAAGGTCTAGCAACTTCACTACACAACAGATGATGTTCATTACCACAGAAAAAATCTATACACTGCTTTCATCTTACACACCTTCTCCAGTACCAGTTGTTTCCACCTCAATCATTTCTGCACATAGTTAGAGTATATGTGTTAGTATGGTTTCTTTTCAGAAAATGCACTCATTATGGTAGACAGCAGCCAGCAGCCAAACTTTTAGAAACATTTTTAACTGTCAGAAATAGGAGATGAGTACAGCCAGGATATTTGGGGTGATGAGAGATGCTTAAAAGCAATAGAGAGTTCCTGTTGCTTTCAGTATAATAAAGTGTATGTTTCATCTTAAAGTGGAGCCAATGAGAATTAACAGGGAACACTTAAAATTAATGTTTAAACAGTGCACACATCATTACTTTTTTTGTTCTTGTAAGGCTTTGTATGCCACTCTAGTGAGCAGCTCTTATACTGCAGGAGATAGGACTATAAGGTAATGATGGTATGTAAGCCTTTCCTTTTGGCTTTGATTTTTTTTTCATACATATTATTTTTGTTCATAGCATTATTCTTTGCTGCACATACTTGATTTTCTTTTCCCAGTGCTGTTGTATGGGCAAAAGAGACCAACAGACGCCAGCATTAAGGGCAGAACTCTCCCTGAACTGGAATATTTCCTGCCATAGCCACTCCCCTCTGCATATGTGCAAATGGAAAACATTTTCTAACCAAACTTTTTTCTTTTGTTTGTTTGGTTTGGTTTTAATTTATAAAGGCAATAGTTCAATCAAATGATAGGCCCTTCACGAACAAAGAAATGTCAAATAATATAAGGGCCTACTTCAGTTACTGTTCTTTTAAGAAAAACTTCCTCTCACATGTGGTTGTCAGGCTATCTTAATTCTTGGTTTGTAGGTATAACCTTCCATCTCAGTTTGTAAAGCCAGCAAGCAGCTTTTGACCTGGTTTCCCTTCTTTGTTGGAGGTAGGCGTTACAGTAACATGATATAGCAACTACATTTTTAAAAACAAAATCCAAGGTCAGATGGCTGTCACCCAAGGTCAGGAAAAAAAAAAAAAAAAAGAGAGATGCAAATGGTACTTGACCACCAAGGAAGAAAACCTAAGGGTTAAACGTTCAAATTACACAAACCTTGGCAGGAAGGATTTTATTGTTCTCCTGTTGTTTTCATAGGGAGCACTGAGTACGTCTGTGTGAACTCCTTATATCTTTTAGAGCATATTGCTAATGTTTTTGGCAGAAAAAAAACCCAATTATTTGGAATCTTTAGCCACCCAAATTAACCTTTTACCTTTGATTTGTCTCCTTTTTTGGGCTGCAGACTGAATTCTAACACGCTGCCAGTCAGTGCAATAAGAAACAAAAAGCAACCCAGCAAGTCTCTCTTGAGGTTGCTAGAAAAGAAATTCTTTGCAAGAAGGCTGCCAAGAAACCAGCAACAACAGAAGATAACAAGAAGCACAGCTGATTCTCATATTTTGGGTTGTTTCACAAATAGCCCAGCAGAACAACATATCTAGCCTCCAGGAGTCCACGCAAATAAAAAGCAATTTAAACAGGTACTCGGATGAGACTAAGTCTGAGAAAACACAGCTAGGACCTTTAGTTCATCTTTTGAGGTGATGTGTGACTTCTAATAAAGTGGAAGTGGTCACTAAACTTTTAGAGACTGGGAGAAGCTATAAAAAAGCAGGCTGAAAACACCGAGCAACAGAGAGTTCCAAGAGCATGATAAACTGATGCAAGTTTATACAAGCACTCTTTTATCAGAAGACAGCTACCACAGAGTCTAAAATGAGCTGCATGACCTCAGGAGATGTAGGGTGAGATACAATGATGTGCTTTTCTTCCAGCCCTGGTCCCCACTGCTAAGTGGAAACAGTTTGAATCCAACTCTTCTTTATGATGGATTGTCTCCCAGTAAAGAGGATGGCTTGCCTGAGGGCAGCAATCTGTGCCATGAAATGGCTAACAATCTGTTGAACAGAACAAGAACAAATAGATTATAATTCTCTTGCTATGAAAAGAGGTGACTGAAAGAAGACATGGGAGGGCTCTTTTAAATTTGAGATAGTGAATATTCATTATGCCTCATAGGATGTAGGGAACACATAGAGGCATGAACAAGCCCCAGGTTTGAAAGAGCTGAAAAGGCACTGCTTTGTCCCTGCAGCATGGGGTGGAACTGCAGAACTGGCCACCAGACGATGGTGGAGCTGCCACCATATATCAAACAGAGATCAGACTGGTACAAAGAGGATGGGAAGCAGTGATCTGGATGCTTCACCTCATGGATGGTTTTCAGAAGCTGCAAAAATAGGAAGAAAGAATCTCATTTTTCTTTTTTTTCCTAAGCATTCCCTGCTGCCTTTGGCTGGAGCACTTAATACGGGATACTGAAAAAGATCTTTCATACAACCCAGTATGACAGTTTTCATGTTTTTAAGTCCTGCTTTATCTTTAGAACATTACAGATTGATAATAATTTTATGGATTGATTACTAAAGAACCAGCTGCCCTTTCAAGCAAATATTTACAAACGAAAGTATCAATCTTATCACTTCTATACACAGGTATGAATTACACCGATTATCAAAGTAACTCCAAAACATGACTGGCTGCTTTGCACTACCTGCAGAATCTACTCTCAGGAATGTGGTAATACTGAGAACATAGGATCAGGAAAGTGGAGCTAAGAAAGTAAGATCAGGGAAAGTGGCATCTCTAGACAGCAGCAGACAGTTAAGAGGCAAAAAAATCCCCCAAATTGTCTTTTTGACCTCAACAGTGACCAGTTTATGAACGCAGCTTATGCAGTAGCTCCTACTCCTTGCAATTTTAAACCAGTTAATGTAACAACAACATCCTTGCATGTGAGCCACTTCAGCATTCAAAATACAATGTATGAACTAACGGGCTTTGCTACCATGAGACAAAGCTGATTCCTCTTCATTTTCAGAGGTTAGATCAATGCATCGTCTGGCTAAAATATTTATTTTCTTTGGTTTCTGTGTTGAAAGAGCACAAACACTGTGTTTAATCATGAATAATAAGGGCAGTCCACATGCTCACAGTAGACAGAAAAGGTTCTCCAACACCTCACTGTGAGAAAAAGGACCCGGAATACTGACAATATAAAGCAAGTTGTGGAATTGAACATTAGCCTCAGCTTTTTACCTGGAGTTGACCTTAGTTCTGGAAACAAAGCAAAGAAGGCTTTTTACTATTATTATTATTATAGTATAATCACCAGGAAAGATTAAACATGTTATTTAAAAATCCAGTCTGATAGGCTGTTTTGGGAACCTGCCAGTAGCTAGTCTATAAACAAATCTGGTGCGCTTGAAAACTACAAAAGCGTGTTTTTACTCTCAGTGCATTCAGCAAGTTTGAGCCCAGGAAGCGCATATCTTAGAGGAATGCTAAGGAAGTAATATCTTTCCAACAGATCCTGACCTGTGTCTACATATTTTCAGGGTATTGTAAGAAGCTGCCCTTACAAAGCCAAATACTGACCTTTTAATCTCTCACAACTTCCCAGGAGGAAAAGAGCTTCTCTCTGTTTTAATAATGGTCAGAGCTGTCAGTCTCCTTCCCAGAAGGCGCAGACATGGCCAAAGCAACAAGCAAACATCTGCTGCTTACTGCAGGTTTCCTATACTTTCATTCTCTGTTCATGCAATGTCTCCATACCCAGGCAGGCAGCCTGTGACTGTCACTTACATATGCTGCGAAGCGTTGGGGTACAGCTCTGAGAACTGCGGGGCCGAATCCTCGGGGCCATGAGGCGCAGCGTGGCTGATGACCATCATTATGGGCCTATGAGGATATATCCTCTTGGACATTCTGAAGTAATTAATGCTCTCATTAGTGATTAGGTCTGTGAAGTAGTCCTGTAACACATGATTAATGTAAAGCAAAAGTTACAAAGTGAATGATCAATTAGATCCCATACTGTCATGTTATTATGTTATTTTCAAGTCCTCATTAAAGGGCAGATCAGGAAGCAAAAACATCCCGTCGCAGAGATGTGTGACTCTAAGAGCATAGGGGAGACTGAGCAGTAATTACTTTCTTAAGTAGGCAATACCATGTAAAATGAGACTGTATTTTGCAAATCAGATACAATAGAATGCATTCAATACGACAAACAGATTTTGTAATATAATGCTAAGCCACTTTTAAAATGACAGACTATACAGACAAAAGTATGTTTCTTGACTTTGATAAACAAAATAGTTTCACAAAGTAGTAGCTCCCAACTGCAAGAAATCATTCACCCTTTCATTGGTTTTCTATTCACACCTAAATTTCTTGCGTGCTCCTTGTTTAGAGTACACTTTTGTGTATGTACAAACTGGGACAAGCTAAAATAAGCAACATATTACAAAAACCTTTATCAGAGAAAGTGCAAACACAAATGCAGGGAGCAGTTGAATTCCTGCAGGCTCTGCTCTTTTAATTGTATAACTTAAGCAGCACAGCTGCTGAGATTAAGGTTGTGACTTGCTAATAAACTGGCTTAACCCACAGCCAAGGTGGCAAATGGAAGCATACGAGGGGAAGGGAGGAAATGGAAGTAAGAAAAAAAGATGAAAACTTAAATTAAACCACCTGCCACCTTGAAGCATTCATTGTTGGCCTGGAGGTCTAGTGTGAGCTTCATTGAGAAAGTGCTGAGACAATGTTTGTAATTTCAAGCACTTCCAGGCATGACTAATCATATGTTGTGGATTCACGGCCCCAAACAGCTGCAAAAGCAGAGCCCGAGGGACAAGGTCTGTGTCGCATGTCGGTGCTCGGACAAGGCAGCCAGCTGTGACCTCCCTGCTCGCCTGCTCCCTGCCCCCTGATCCTCTCCCGGGGCACACTTGGAGCAAAGGCGCTGGCCCTGGCTGTTACAGTCCCTGCAAGGGCATGGAAGTGGCAGCCAGCGACCGGTTTTGGTTTTGGTTTGCAAAATAGGTAATGATAGCAGGGCTCTGGGGTTCTGATAATTTTTGGTTTTGTGGCCTGCTGGAATGAAATGTCTGTATGACTTCTCTCCCAAAGCATCCTCTCCCCTCCTATTTCCCTGTTTATTCTAGCTACATACACAGGGTGTGTAAGGAATGCCTAACTAACCAATACTCTTCCTTTTTTTTTTTCTTTTAACTCTATATAAATATGTAATCAGTATCATGTAATTTCTACGGGTGGGGAAATCAGAAACAGGCATCGCAAGCTTCCAATAAAATCTCATTACATGGGTCAGAAACCACAGCTGCAACATCTGTATCATCTTCCGTGAGCCTACAGTCTGAGGAAATTCCAATTGCTTTCTGCAGGCTGGAAAGTCTGCGCCCTGCAGTCCTCAGCCTTTTCGAGACACTTCATGGCAGCAGGCAGGTCACCTTGGCATACTTTCCAAACTTTGTCAAGAGCACAAACAAGCTCCCAAGTTTTCCAACGGCTGTGCTCTTGCGCTTATCTATTCTCCTAGTCGTATCCGGAGTTGGACAACACAGACACACAACGTATCTTTTTTACACTGTCTAATGGGAAACAGCATTAACTAAGGTTTCTGATGTGGGTAATAGCTGACAATGCACAGTTAACTTTAAAGTTCAGTCATGCAAAGCACGAAGTTATTTTCAGAAAAGTTCTTTCTTTACTATTTGCTTCTAGCAGAGAATCAGCAGTTTCCAGCAGAGAGAGAGGGAGGAAGGAATCAACTGCACTGAAAAGCCCTTGGAAATTTTGTCCCATCCTGTAGTTAAAATCCTCACACAGAAATTAATAAAAATGCCCTGGAGAGAAAAATGACATCTCAATTTCTTGGTTGCAGACGTTTAATTAATTAATTATCAGGTTAATTAATTATCTGAAAGCCGATTTTTATATGGATTAATGACGTGACATTTATAGGTCTGGAAAATACCTTTGCATAATCAAATCCATGCTTCTCTTTGTTACCATTGCGAGAAATCGTGTAATTATAGAAGCGAGAGTTCTTCACTAATCCAACCCACTCTCTCCACCCAGGAGGGATGTAGCTGCCATTGTATTCATTGAGGTATTTCCCAAAAAAAGCTGTGAAGGTAAAAAAAAAAAAAAAAAAAAGAACACACACAAACACATGAGGCTTTGCAATCCGAGTCTTTTAGTCTGAGTCCAAAGTGTGCATGAATGAAGACAAAATGTGTTAGTATAAGTCAGAGTCACTCTATCAAAAAAATGTTGCTTTTATATCTAAGAGGGCTTTGAAATTAAAATAAATTATTTCCAGAATTTTTATAATTCTACCATTTATCTGCCATTCTTGGAATCTAGCACTGATGTTTTTTCTTTTCTCTTTTAGAATGTATATGGTTTCCACTTGAAATCGGAATAAAAATTCAGTCCTCACAGGAAACATCTGAGAAACATATCTTTTGGTTTTAAGCAAATCCTGTGATGTTTCAACTTTTGAAAGTCTGGGTTTGGCAACCTGGCTGCATGTTCTGGTTTGATGAAAGCTCTGGGAAGCCTGGATCTCCATCCTGCTGGGCCATGCCTGGGTAGAGCAAGAGGGAATCCCTGCCCTGCTTTGCTGCCCAAACTTCTCTAAGGCAGAAATAACAGGCAGTGTCTTGGAGAGGTCAGCTATCTCTGCCTGGTCTGCAAAACTTAGGTGTATTTCCATTAGATAAAGGTGACAAGGCATAAACCTCTCAGACGAAAGCTTTCAGAAACTGTCATCTGTTATCACACCCAGCAAGTGCTCTCACAAACTCTTCCTGAAGAAGACTCTACCACGACAGAAGTAAAGAGAAAAAGTCTCACAATGCAGTAAACTTCCAACTATTGCTTACGCCAACAATACGCAGGCATCAAGAACTGGCCAACTGGCCTTGGAAGCATGGATTAACCCTGGGACCATGGCAAAAGAAGCTCTATTGCTGCTTTTCAGTTGCGTATGTATTGTCCTTGCCCAAGAGGGCACCGTAGCGACAAATCATCTGACTCTACCTGCAAATTTGTTTATGGGGACTTTGTTGGCTCCATCTCAGCTACAGCAATGCTGGACACAGTGGGGTGACTGACTAACCTTGCTGCTTGCAATTTTAATTTTCTTAAGGTGTCCAAGCCCTTGGAAGGTCTTACCCGAAGAGAAATGAATGACAGAAATCAATCCCTTTGCAGGGACAGAGCTGTGTGTCAGACCCCATCCTGCTGCAGCCCTGGCCATCCCAGCCTGCCTGGCCCTGCTGCCAGGCTGCCCACAGACAGCTCCTGCCCAGCGTCACTTCCTTGGCTGGGATCCGAGACACACGTCAGACACCCTTACATGTTTCCTACTTAGGAAATGAAGTCACTTTGGAAAACCTCGCGTTCAACCTAGACGCATTCAATCTAACCAAGAAAAGCACATTTGCGGAAGGGCTTCAATAATTCAGATCTGATTGATGTGGGCATGGTGAACTCCTTCCTGGGAAAACTGGTGGAAAAATGAAGATATTCATAATTAAAAGTTTCTTGAGGAAATATAACTATGGGGCAATCGAATCTTTTAACTGCCAAATGTCACTAACCAGAGGTTATAGTCATATATAAGGTTTCTTTCCTATACCACGTGGAATGTGACATATAAACAAGTCCTGCAGACACTAGCCCAGACTTTCAGTTCATCCTCCCACAGCCTTGTAAGAAAGCAACCTAGCCTCTATCCTTTTTTCCTCTGGGGCCAATCAGAAGTCAAGAAGCTTGAGGTGAAGAGGGTAACTGTGGGGAGGGAATATATGCCTGGTCCATTGCCTCCCGGAATGGAAACCATTCCTTTCCTTTAAGGCAGCCAAACTGTGTCAAACTCTCAGGGAGTTGGATGTTCAGGGAATGTGTAAGGGTAAAGGCTGAAATATTGTGGGAAAAGAAGCCACAGAAAGAGTAGAAGGGGAAGAGAAGTTAAAGACAGACAACAGTAAAGAATAATAGAGTGAGCATACTGAGCCAAACAAGATCAAGGACAGTCTGTGGTTCAGGGGAGATTTGAGGCCAATCTTCCTGAATGCCATCCCAGATCCACCACCTCCATGATCTTGAGGAGGCTCTATGTGCTGCATTCATCCGTAAAGATCTCTGCCAACCCGCCTCCCACAAAGATCAGAGCCTCTCAAGCTGTAAAATGAAAGTTGTGGCAATTTATCATGTAGAATGGTTTGATAGCCCCACCTATAACTAACACTGACTAATACTGAGACCTGAACACTGTTATTTACAGGTTTGCTAAACTTCAGTCAGTAGTGATGATAGTTTCCGTGCTATCTGAGTCAGGCTGGATTTTGCTACATGGAACATTTTAGCCAAACAGTCCAGAAATTTCCAAGAAAAAGGCTAGTGAAAGATAAATGAGTTCATCCATTTAAAACTCTTTGGCAAGCATTTTTTTGAGAAGCTCTAGTGTCTCTAGGTTTTGAGGTAGCGCCTTTGTAAATAACAGAGGTGGCAATGAAAAAGTGTCCCAAAATGGCCAGGCTCTAAAAAAGCTATAGCATACAGATGTAATCAAGAAAGACATAGCTTTCAGCTTAATGTCACCATGGGTTGTTCCTTTATGGACTTGAGAAAGTCCTCAGAGTTTAAATTTCGACCCTAAAACAATTAGCTTCTTTCTTTCCTGCTCTCTTCTGATATTCAGGCATTACTTGAGAGGAAGCCACCAGCATAAAATGCAGAGATGAAAAGTCCCGGAGTTTAGGGATGGGAAAAGATAAATTCAATTTAGAAAGGGAAGGGAGGCTTGGAGCTGCTAGGGGGCAATTCATCTTGGAATTTCCTTACTTTAGATTACTTAATTTTGAAACTTTAACAATGTTTTGTTAGCTCCCCCTTGGCCTCCTGAACCCCATATTTTCGGCATGTTATGAGACTTCAGACTGACAGACTGAACCATTCACCTCTCTGTTGGCAATGATTTAGCATTTAATCATCAAAATAATCTGAGAAATGTCAAGTTTTAAGCAGCTCCTTGAGTGACAGTTTGCAGAAATAGATGTTTCGCTCTCTTGTGGAATAAAGCAGTTCCCACGTCAAACACATAGTAAAGCCCCGAATACTTGTAGAAGCAGCAGTAGCTGTGATAATGGATCACATTTGCCAAATTGCTTTAACCAAGGGAGGTTTGCTGGTCAAAAGCTCAGGAGGATATGAGTAATTACACTTATGATGGGAAAGGCCAGGTTTTTACTAAAACACAAGAGTTCAGTCATTTCACCCTGGCGTTTTCTAAGTACCACTGAGAACTGGATAGGGCAAGCAAGTCAGAGCTGGAGCTTAGTGACAGTGGTTAGTGCCTGGGTCTTCACACTTTGAATGAAGACAAGTGCCCGAGTAAAAAGGAAAGCACAGTAGCATCCACGAGGACAAAGAGTAATCAGAAGTAATCGCTATGGGTGTCTTCCAGGTTTTTTTTTGTTAGCCAGAGGGTTGCAAACAATTAGAGGGATATGGAATGTGTCATGGGACTGCTCAGGAGCTTACACTGTGATAAGCAAATGTTCTTTCTGGATCCTCACATGCTTGGCTTATAAAGCGAACCCACATCTTTAACAGAGCTATAGCCTGGCACTTGCTGAACTGCCCAAGTCTGAGTACAGACTGCAAATATTCTGCTTTAGAAGTTACTTATTCTCAGCAGTTCTAGAGTTTAGGAAGCCATTCTTGCTTCCAATTAATAAAACAGAGATTATGACTCAATAGGTAAAAGTCTCATTAAAATCCAGTGCTATTTCCAGGGACATCTTTTCATTATTGTGTGTAATGGCCCCCACAGGGATAACAGGAAAGATAAATGCCAATTTTTGCATTTTAATTAGACTGATTTTGTCTGTATTCTGGCAGTTTTGCTAACTGTTCCCAGGACACATAGTTATTTTTTAATCACATGTAGAGTAACTTTGTATATCAAAATAATTGCAATCTGTGTGAACATGTTCAATTAAGTTTATGCAAATGATGCATGGCATGGGGAACAGTTGTACGGGTATCTATATGTCTCAGGAGTGGCTGCAAAATATATGTCTGGTAGCTAATTTGAATAGATTCCTTAATACAGTTTTTTGTTTTCCTTTTAGTAATTAGCTAATGAGTCCTGAACTGGACTGAGATCGTCGGGGCTGCAATTGGCAACAAGAATTTGACCCAGGGGATCTCTAGAATTTGAAGCCAGGATTCTTACAGCTTAATGTGATGCAAATTCTCACAATTCCCAGCAGTTCATCTCCCAGCACTTAATACAAGCATTTATGACTAATGTTTACAGCATTACACAACAGACGTAGGCCCCTACCTCCTGTCAGCATTAGTGAATTAGCATACAGGTGAACTGGGCTGTGACTGCAGGAGGCACATCTCTGCACTTCCATGGATCAAAGGACATATATTGTGCTCCTATACTCCTGTTATTTGTTTAAGTTTATGGGAATGTTTCTGATTTAAAACAAAACCAAGCTTTTAGAAAGGCATACTGCCGTACGGTTTAGTCACCATGACCCAGACAAGAGCTTTAAGCAGACAGCCCACTTCCTTTAACAAAGTCAGGAAACCATTTACAAGAGTTACAAAGCACTGTTTACATGACATTTCAGTGCTGACACACGGTGACTATGTGCTTTTGGGGACAGAGCCCAACAAAACTTCAGCTTCCGGATTATTCCAGTAAATTTCTCCTTGCTTTTTTCCCATTATGCAAATGATAGCTTCAAGACTGGGAAGTTTGATTTTTCCCATCTGCTGAATGATTGTAAAGCATTCGGATATCACATCATTAAACTGAAGAAAGTCAGCTCAGTATTCCAGTCCTCCTCAGGGAACAAAAAAAGAACAGTCTCAACAATTATGTGAGGAAACTGAGGCACCAAGAGGTTAACCTCCAGCTAAGCTTAAGTCATGCAGGCAGCCTGTGGCATTGCCAAGAATATTATTCAGATCTCTCAGTTCCCTGTCTTGTAAATTAACCACAGCAGAAAACCTCAGGTTTTCTACTCGTTCTCCGGCTTTGTGGGTCTTTCCCAGTTGCTGTCAGGTTTACCCTTGTAACCAGAAAGAGCATTAAA